GAATGGTGTTGAAAAAATAGGAGCAGAAGGGAGCATTTCTAAGAGCTGTAGCTGCGAGGGCTGAGCGAGAGGGTGTGTAAGGGAAACGCCTCCAGCTGAGCTCGAGTGCCCTCTTCCCACGCTCACACTTCTTCCTATTGAACCCAGAGTAACGTTTGTGCATGGCTTCTCGGGAAACATTTTGTAAAATATCGGGAGTGCTACATTTCTTCTTGTTTACAGTCAAGTTTATAGTTTAGTTCTCTCTAGTTCTCGTTTAGGCAGCCGTGCTTCTCGTTCAGTCTTGCTTCTCGTTTAAAAGCCTTTTTTACAGTTTAGGTTACTTTATTTCCTGTTCAAATATTTTTTTTTCTCGTTCAGCGGTTATGGTAGTAACCTTATGTCTAAATTTTATTATCACATATTTTAAATACTATTAAATGCAACGAGTGCAACTTGCCATCTCGTTTAGGAAAATCTCGACTGATATCTTCCCGCAAAGTTACGTCAAGCAGTAACCTCGCTTCTCGTCTCAGGTGGTACAGCGCTTTGCATCTCCGGTGACGTTCCGTCAAGAGATCTACACGAGATGCGTCGCTACTCCAGTTGCATTGGCCAAAAGGGTCCACGAGACAAGCGTTGCTTCTCAGGAAACACGATCTAAAGTCTCCATTTCCCTGATACACGTACTTGCTGTGATGAAGACTACAAACGTAGAGTTTCGCTTAGTTTAAAGCTGGGTCAACCATTAAATACTCTGCTCTGAGTATCAACTCGCAAAAAGTAAGACTAGTGGAACCAAGGCAATCCATATTTGCGTCACAAAAAAAATCTGGACTGAAATTGGATCCGATTAATCATGAAAATTGTAAAATGTAAAGAAAAAAAACAATTCAACTGATAAAAAGGGTTTGCAGCAATAAAAGCCGAAAAAGTGACCATATATAGGCACAAGAAATATGAGGGTTACAGCGGAAATTAAAGATTGTTTCGAATAAAAGCGCCCTCAAATTGATCACATTCATCTAGCTCGAGCTCGACCCACTGCAATTCTTCAGGAGTAAAAATATGTTCCTGAAATTCCAAGAATTTGAATTCGAATAATATTAGAAAAATAAAGGAAGATTTGCAGAGCTTTAAGCTGAGGATCCGAGAATTTATTTTCTTGCAAAACCATGGCTGCTAATGAGGCAGACTGAACAGCTTGCTGACATATCGCTGCATCTGTACAGCTTACTCGGCTCGCCTACGACGTTCGTAGCTGCATTTCGGCCATCACTTCTGTTTATATTCCTTACCGTGAATCTTGAGAAAATATGACCAGTGAAAAGTAATTTAGTGGAATTATATGTGTCACGAATGAAATTTTTAAACAAACACCACATTACGTTTAGATTTGGGAAAGTTGATTCGAAGAATTTTTTACAGTTAGGGTGGCCTAGCCAAGGCCAGCCAAAACTATTTCTACAAAAGTTGCAGCAACTCTCTTCTGGTCGAGTATTCCGGGAAGGAAATTTACACAAACAGAACAAAGCCACTACGGCCAAACTCAGCAAAACCTAACTTCCAAGTATACAGAAGTTAGTGCTAATCTTTACACGAATCTGGAATGAAGTGAAATTGAAGCATTGTAAATTATTGTCTTATTTTCTACTGTGAAGTAGTGAGCGCTAAAGGCCTGAGAGTAAAAAATTAGCATTAAAAATGCATGAAAAATTAATTAACTGAGAACATGGTTGCTAAAGATGTGCCCAAGGGATATTGTCTCTATAAACGTCCTAAAAATCCAAATTTTTTGTCATTTGAACACATTGGCCACGATGTGTGCCATTTAAGCTCACGATGAACTCGCCGGGTGTGAGATGTGTACAAATACAATGCTGTTATTATAAGGGTCCGCATCTAATTTGGTCGGTATACTGAAAGCACTCGCTTTTTCGGAACAGCACCTAACTTGGCAATCCGATGTTTTGTTTCTGAACAGTCTTGTCGTTCTAGCCGAAAGCAAATCGTTTCGGATATAGAAGTCTTCGCAAAGAATTTTTAAGTAATCACGCGCCACGTAAAGGGCTTTACGGTAATTGCACCTAACGCACATAAATGACACCAGAGTATTTGCAGGAACTATGCCATGTTCAAAATCACCGACTCTAAAACTAATCTAATAACTTCAGAAGTTCCACATTTTTTAGGATATAGTCAAACGAAACAAAAAGGTTCATGCTGAACTCTGACTTCGGTCAGTAACATCACAAGTGCAATTGTTGAAAATGAGTGCTCGAATTAGGTTGTTATAAACGAGAGAATTCTCTAACGGGATATCCGTGGGGGCGAGGGCTTACCTCGGATAAGGTGATGTGTAAGGGAAGCTTGTTGGCTCATATATTTGGGCCAGCGGCTGTATACATATTGGCCAATAATTTGAGGAAGCTAAGACCGTCCTCGGTCAACATTATGATGTCAACAAACACCTTGAAATGAACCTTAAGGAAACTTTGACATCCACGTTGCTTCATTGATTGATCGTAAACGTACGATAAAGAAGCAAGAGGGTGTAGAATTAACTGAGTGCACGGGATGAAGTGACATTTGGTATAAAATAAAATAAATAGTACATAAGGATAATAATTAATACTCAAGTGCCGCAAATGACAGACAAAACCACGGGGATAAAAGAAAGTTGGATTCACTGTTCCCTTAGTTGTACCAAAATCTAGTGTTTTAAATAATAAACAAAATAGAGTGGTTCTCATGGTTACAGAGCCACCTGCTATGAACAGTATGTGATCTCAACTCGAGCAGCATCTGGGAAAAAAACTCCATGCACGGTTAATATGATTAAATTTACAATGGTGCGCATAGAGCAAGACAATAAAAGGCGATCGCATCTTTACTAGCCAATGTTTATAAACAAATTACGAATAGTTCGACTGTAATTCGGAAAATTTGATTCGAAGTAAGAAACGGTACCAACTCACAGACGCTGAGGTGTATTAATCATAAGATCAATAGAAGCTCTTATATGAAGTGGCCAACTGAAATTATCCCGAATTGCTTGCACACCAAACAAAACGGCAATAAAATATTGGCGATAATTCGCCGATATAAGGGCACAAAACGCCCTTATAGAGAATTTTCTAGAGAATCGCGGATAACAAAAAATGCGCGCTAGAGTGTTTCATTTCTGGAAGTGACCCTACAGAAGAGGCATAACATAACATAACATAGTGATGTCGGCGCTGAAGTGTAGGCCTGTTGTGGCCTGTCGCCGATTCTTTTCCTTTTCATGCCTTGTTCATAGAAGATCTAAAATCGTGTCATTTGACCGGATCTTTCTATGACTGACGATAGTTTGAAGTAGCTACTAGACTTCCACCGGGTTCGATAAGGAGCTAGGCATTTCAAATCTGAACATATATTTTTCCATAGCTTTATCTAATCTGTTCTTGAACGCGTTCATACTTGGAGCGCCAACGATGTCATCGGGGAGGCTGTTCCACATGTCGGTGATTCGAAGCGAGAGGAAATTTTGTCGCGTGGAGAAGTTGCAGCGCAGTTTTTTTAGCTTATAGCCGTGGCCCCTGGTGTTGGTTCTTGTTTCAAATTCTAGTAACCCTTCAGGGACCTTGTATAGACCATGAGTATACTTGTATACTTCAATGAGGTCCCCACGCATACGTCGATAACTGAGGCTTGGAAGCTTCATAATCTTCAATCTTTCTTCATAGGACTTGCCCTTCAAGCCTGGAATTATCCTTGTTGCACGTCTTTGAACATTCTCTATTAAATTTCTGTCCTTTTCAAATCTCGGTGACCACACAACGTTTCCAAACTCTAGGCTCGGGCGCACGACGGCAACAAACAACTGCTTCATCGTTTCTGCATCTAGGAACTCGTATGAGCGTCTGATTAGTCCAAGAAGTTTGTTGGATGTGTTAGCTTGCGTTTCAACATGCTTAGAAAATTTCAGCTCCTTGTCGACATAAACTCCGAGATCTTTTTCCACACTAGACTTTTCAATCATTACTCTTTCGTTGCAACCATGTCTTCTCATACTGTAATCTTGCTGTTCATTGTTCTTCCCGAGGTGAAGTACTATACACTTGTCAGCATTAAACCGTAGCTGCCACGTATCAGCCCAGTTAACTAAACTGTCAAGATCATCTTGTAATTGCGCTTTATTTGACGCATCCTTCACTGAATAATAAACTTTTGTGTCGTCGGCATACATGGAGCACACGCTGGACACTACTTCTGGCAGATCATTTATAAAAGCAACGAACAAAATAGGCCCCAGAACGCTTCCTTGTGGCACGCCACTGCGCACTGATGCCCAGTCTGACACGGTTCCGTTAATACTGACACGTTGTCGTCTACCTACTAGAAAATCTCTGATCCATTGGATCTGATCTGATCATTGGCATGTTTGAATTTCTATTCGATAAGTAGTATAGGAAATTAGGCCATACAGAAAAATAAGGACACCTTCGCGGCCTGCAGCGGGAATGTAATATTCGTCTAGAAATTATAGATGCGGTGATTAATGATCAAAGAAATAAAATAAATTCCAACGGTAGGCGTCCCAAATCAACAATGAGCCATTGCAGTATATTCTACATATTAAATAACTTTCGCAAGTCATTTTCAGTAGATAATTAAACTTTTCTTCTAAGATGAATTCGTTGCTGTTACGTCACGGACTATAAAGAGTGGACAGGAATAATGCATAGTAAAATTTCCTGATATCTGAACTACCGATGAAGCTTCTAGTATAAAGATACAATTCAAATACTGAATTTAAAGCATTCAGAACTAATTGAAAATAAATGGTTCGATGGGAAACATCGTTTAACGATTTTCAATTGTCGCGTCACTATTGCAGAGAAGTCGTCTGGCAGGGAATTGCAATATTGGAACTAATAAGTGCAGGCGACATCGCCTGGAATCAAGTTAATAATACACTCGAACCTTTTATTATCTGCAAATCATAAGAAACATACCGAACATCTTAGTGAGCTCACCTTAACATAAACATTGAAGGAAGAGAGCTCATTCTCGATGATCATGCCGATGATGCCAAGTAAGCTCATGACTAGCGCGTAGTCCGATATCCTTTTTCTTTTCTCGAACAAAGCTTTCCGTCTGCCTAATCTGTAGCCGACGTTGGGTTTGGTTCGGGAGAGATAACTGGGCGGACTTTTCTGTGCGCTGCTGCCTTTGTCGTCGCCGTAGCGTGGATACTCGGAGTGGACGCCTACGAGTGCTATACCGGCCTCCTCTTCACCGAAGGTGCTAGGCTGGGCGCCTGTGCCACCCGCGCCAGCGCCTTTCATCGCACCCGGGATCGAGAGCGTTGACACTGGCTTCCGCAACTACAGAGACAAGAAAATAACAAAGATGTTATGTTCAATTATTAGAAACTTATGTGATTTGAAAGTAACATTACGCACAGATCATTTAAAAATACCCTGATGGAATTTACATTTAGTTTAATGTTACAGCGTTGAACAAAGAAACGATACCTGCATCTAGAACTTGATATAGTTTTTCTGCATGAAGATAAGTAAAATAATTGAAATGTAGCCAGAATCTGCAAGAGAAGAAGAAAAATAGTCAGAATTTTGCAGGGATAGGAAACCATAAAATAATGTTGTTTAATATTTTAAAATAAAATTTATACATGAATAGACGACAATATAAACCGAAAAAATTATATAAGAATTAAAAAATTAAAATAAAGTCCAATGAGAGGTTAAAGACTTTTGAAATATTATTCAGGAGTAATTAAAGTTAAACATGTGTCATTTAGTTTTAACAATTCACACTACTCCACTGAATATTTCACATTTAGTTTTGACACACTTCAAATATTACCGAATAATTTTGCATGAATTTATACAATACATGTTCAACGATAAAAATGTCTTTTCAACACTAGAAACAATAGTTACATGAAGTGTACCAAATTACTGTGTACAATCATAGTATCATGTAGACTCGTTAAGCTGTAGCGCGTCAGCCGCTTGAATACTTGAACTAATTTTGCTGCCAGCATACTAAACATTGATATGGCTTTAATAAATGAAGAGGAGCTATCGATCCTACTGTAAGTTGGCAGTGATAGTACAGTTCGTGCCAGAGTGCATGGAAAGGTCGATCTTCATTCAGCGCACGCGACCGATTCAGTTAATGCCCGGGGAGAATAATCATGCAATGAATCACAACCGGCTATTGCAATAAGCCTTGTTACAACTTTAATTGAGAGACAGAAAAAGCAGTTAACTTAATTCATCCTGTGCATTAACTCAGGGAATGCATGACATTTCCAAAGCCGCATTCACAATCACCCTCTTTGAAATCACTAAGAAGAGAACAAAACATGAAATGAAGGCCGTCTATATATAGTAAGTTTTACAACACCGGCACCACAAAAATCTGATGTGTACAGGACACTGACAAATGAATATTTGCATTTGAAACTTGTTCCTCTGATCAGAGTTGTCATTCGTTAACTGGAATTTGCTCTGATTTTTGCCTCGCCAATATTTTAATCAGTGACTGTAAAAAATAATCTCCCGTTATAGTCAGTCGAACTTTGGAAACGCGTTGCAGGAAGTTACTATTTTCTCAAATTTGAAATAAAAGCATCAGCCTTTCCCAAGCTTAACAGTTTAAAGATTGTGGAACATTTTGGAATTTAATGGAAGTTTGGAAATAAAGTTGTAGCGTGTAATGCTCGCAGAGACCGAGGCTCGCGCGATTAGAAGTCATCGGGGTGCAAGGCAGCAGCTGTGTTGGCTTAACAAGCTGGGGGAATATCAAACAAAATTGAATAAATTATTACTTAGTGCACGGCATTCCTGCAGAAGATTCACCACAAGCAGGACAATGTATGAATGAGCAACGAGAAATTGTGGACGAAAATTATAATTATGCTAAAATAACGTGGAAATTTTCCATGTTAGCGGGTGGAAATTTTCTGCAAAGTATACAAATGTTTTTTTTTTCTCGAGAATATAACCATTCAGACCAAACTTACATCACTGACATATTATTGGCTGTGCTGCTTAATTCTGATAACATTAAAGAAATGTCCATGAGGAATCACTGCCAAACTGTGAAGAGCATTCCTACTTGACATAAACGAAGCAACTTAAAAGAAATCAGCAGGATATATATTTTTAAGATACTCGATGAAGTCAAAGTTAGGCTAACGAACCATTCGTATACAAACTAGCCGTCAACTAAAAAAATTAGCCGGCATGCAACATAACCTTCTTAACAACGCAAAATCTGCTAAACAAGAATACATTTACTGCGTTCAAAAAAGATCCTAGGATTTTTCAACTTGTCCGAAAAACAAGTGATGAGGCCGGGAGCGCTTGAACGATCTTCCAACAATGTATTCTTAGGGCAACTGAAAGAGATGCGACCAAAATAGACTAGGACAACAAGAACAGAAATTGGACCCACGTCAGTGGCGATTAAATATTTCGCAAACATGAAAACATAACAGTCAAAATATAACAGTGAAAATATTTCACCATGCACTCGGTAGCAATAAAATTCAGCGATAAAATAACTACAATCTTCTTTAGGGACAGGATACAGCACTTTGGTATATGGTATAAGGCAACTAAATAATGAGCGCAATTTAGTAAACTTTCCAAGTCAAAATAGTTCAGTAGAAATTTTTTCAATTCATGTCATTTATAAGCTAGTGTCTTTGTATAGAAACTTCATGCAAGCCACATGAGGCTGCAAAGTAAGCAGCCTTCACTTTAATCCCCGTTGATATTGACTATAGAAATCCATCAGTCAAGAACACGCAGACTGAATAGCTGGCAACATTGCTTCTGACAATATGAGTGCGTACCAGACAAGCAATATCGGCGTCGCTCCCACAAAATGTGGCCAAACTAGAAAACTTTCCCAGCCAGGCATTTTCTCTGGAAACACGGACCAGAAATAAATGAGGAAAAATAAGGTACTTTTCATCTAAGAATAAAATAGAAATGTTTCAAAATGAATTTCAGTGCGAAAAAATTAATGAAAATGTTTAATTCTTTCCTAAATCAATTTTAAACTTCTAATTAATTTGAACCTTTTTGGCCTAAACCAATCATTCAGAAATATATACTAGACAGCAAAAACATGCCTGCCCACGCAAATGTAATCAAGTGAAATATGCTAGTCTGTCTGCTTCAGCAAACGAACTTGTACAGAATACTTGGTATGCCTGCTGGATCGTCCGCAAAAAACTTCCCTGGAATGAAGCGGGAATCCAATTTTGAGTGGAGAAATTGAAAGTCATTTTTCATGGCACATTTGTGCGACGCGCGTGACATTCTTCAGTTGTTTGACTGAATAAAAACTAAATTGCGAGAGAAATTTCCATCGTGATGAATGACAGGGCTTCAAGTCCTGCTTCGTAATTTGTGTTTCAACAGTCACATTCAGCGATGATGAGGCGAAGCTTTATCGTACTTCTGTCTCCATTTCTATACTTAAACTGAATGACACAGCTACAGAGATATAGAAAGGTTCGCTGTTCTTTAGGACGTAAATCGTTCCAAAATACAATAGGCAACGTGATTGACATCGAGTTGTATTAGAATGATCAGTGCATTATCTTCGTAATGGCTTCTATTTGAAGGTTGAGTTCAATCAACGGCAGAAATTCACTCCAATATCATCGAGAAGATTCACGATCCCAACTAGCGGATGAGATCCACCGTGATCATCCAGAAATTAAATGAAAGTTAAACCGATTAGAGCTGAGCTGTGAAAGTAGCTCAAAATTAGCGTCATTCTGATCGGAAAGTCCATCTTTACCAAGATCAACTGAACACCGCGAACCTGCTGAACCAAAACCCGTGATTTAGGCTACACGTTGCGGAAAGTTAAGTTTACAATGTAGGACTAATTAAAAAGTTCAGTTTACAATGTATGTAGAAGTAATCAAAACGATGTGCCCAAGCTCAGGAAATATTCTCGTATCATGACGTATAAATAATGTTATGCACTGTCACTTATTGCTTAATTGTACTTCAGTCATTCGCAAGTGGCAATATTTTCAATATCCTTCTCGACACGATCCCGATTTCTTACTCAAAATATTTATAAAAAACGGAATCGCAAAACAAACAGGAAAATAAAATCGCCCACTTTCATGCTCTATATATTGAATCCATGAACGCCGTAGCGATGAAACGCGTTTGTTTCCAACATGTCAAATGAGATTTTCAAACGAAAATAACATTCGTACAATCTTATATTTCGATTACAGAACGAGAAGCACAAATTGATTAAAAATACGACAGCAGCTGTATTCCAGGAATAAAAGACTTCTACTTCAGTAAAATAGCACAAAAAATAAAGAAAGTTACCGAAACAGAAGAGAAAATCTATAAGGTCTCCACAGATGCGTAGGAAGCTCCTGAACGTAAAATCATCCGCCCGATTTGACGGCTAAAGAAGAGAAAGGTTTAGGCGATGCGATCGCGAGCTCATTGCGCCATTTCGAGTAACGGATAAAAATGGCTGCAAATCACAATCTAAGCGGTAACGGTTACATAACTCAAATTTACGACAAACGCTGCGAGTGTAATAAGGATTTATACGGCTGGTGAAGTTTATTCTGATCGACGGCATTAAATGTCAAAATATGGGATAGATGACATTTTTTTGTAAATAGAAATCATATTTGCACGTTCACATAGCTGAGTTCTGTTAGTTCAAACATTCAAATAGTTCTGTTCAAAATCTGACCTATAGCAGGTGAACCGGTTAAAAATAACCCGAGGTTAAAAATAAGTGAAATTTTAGAATCCCGTTATCACGAATTTCGGTACCTAGAATCCCGTTATCTTGTTAATAATAAAACTTAAAAAATACCTGTAAAATACATTTAAAAATAACTCTATTTCACATCTAACAGGTCATTTTAATTTTGTGCTATTGTAGCCTGGCGCCTTCAGTATCGGGATATATGAGCACGTATCCACAATTCTTATCGTGTCGGGATATAACCTGGATCAAAAACTTAATTCTTAAAACAGAATATAGTAAATAATTACGAACATTTCTAACGCCAATATTGTTACAGGCGCAGCTGGCTTCCAACACACTAACTGGGAAATATATATAATTGATAATACACGGGTTACTTGCACAATCACCCATTACAAAACCAAAGGCAGGAAAAAAATAAAACATCGTTTATCATATTTAAGTGTTGTGTTAGGCTTGGGGCGAGTATGGCGAGTGGCATCAGAAATTGCACAGCTCAGAACCGTGTCGTCGCTAGAGACACCGGAAATTAGGTTCTGTAAAGGCGGGAAATTCGCCGCTGAATTTTTTGCGGTC